ATTTCATAAGTAAGAAATATTTTTTATACCGATGAAACAGTTATATTTCGTTCTTCTGTGATGTATATAAAGTATAATATTGTGATGCAAACTCAAAATGGAATAAATTTCAACTCTATATCTGACATGTCTTCTTTTTTTAAGCCCATAACCATGTGTGTGAGGTGTATACGTTTGTTTCAAAGTAGATTTGTTTAAGACTACCAAGAATCACTCTGTGTGACCCTGATTTAGCCCACTGCAGCAAAATGCTTATTGGAGTGGGTGCACAGAGGTGAGATCATCCCAGCCTGATGTCTTTTGTTTTGTATGTTCCGAAAGGTTTTAATTCAGAAGAATATTCTAGCTCGAACATAATATTGCAACAATGGATACAATTTGACAGTTCTTAAAATGTTGTTCTTTGTGCTGTTGGTGAAGACACAGAAACATTCAGTCCCATATGAGACAGAAAATATGAAACCTGCCTCTGTTTGTTATACAGTAAAACAGGCAACATTATATTATACAACAAGATTACCTCTGTGGGTCCTTGCACTCTCATTCTATCCCTCTCATTCCACAAATGTGTGATATGAAACTTCAGATAATGTGGGTTTCTTATTGCACTTGGCCATTGTTTATTACCATATGTTGGATATTGAAGTGTAAAGTCATTTCAGGACCTCTATCTCGCCCACACACTTTATGCTGAGGGTGTCAGCATCAGCTATACTTCACAGAGGGGTTTATTGAAACATAAAAGGCAGAAGTTGTATTCTAACTTCTGAACTTAATGTTATTTAAGTGCATGTTACACAGGCTTGAATTTTCAACTGCATTCCCTCTGTTTATTTGTTCTCCACAATGTATTATCTCAAGCAGACTGTAGATGATCTTTTAAAGAATCCATGGACCAGTTTGATTTATGTCTTTATTGAGTGCATTTAAATACAATATTTATTCTCAGAAAGTTACAACTACAAACTCTGACATACTCATCACAATAAACACATTTGTAACTGTACAATGACACATACACAAATGAAAAATATCCTTCCTGGTTGTGTCAAATCTTATTTACAGTGGGATGGATACGTGTGTGTGTTTTCATGCTACGATGCTGTGGCTGTCCAGTCTCAGTCCAGAGACATGGCTGGAGAAAAGAGCCTCTGGCGAGATGTCCTTGAAAGTGGAAAGGGGCCGTTTCACAATGGTATACTCTGAAAATTTAGGGAAAAGCTGATATTGATCCAAGCTATCTACTTTCTTTGGCAAGCTGGAAATCCAACATTCCTCAAAATGTAGATACACACTACATGCGATTTTGAAAACAGAAAAAGACATCTGAGAAAAATGTTCTCAGAAGACAATACAAAGTGCTAAAGACTTAAATATCCTGGGAGACAAGTTAGTGTGAGTGGTAGCAGTATAGGACAGCAAGGGAGTGAAAGCCAGAGTTAGGTTTTGGGCTGGCAAGTTTCGTATCTGCTGGTGGATCACAAAGTGGCACAATTACGCAAGTGGAGGTGAAGTCAATGTGACAATTAAACAGTCTAGAACTTCAGCTTTGTCACCATAAAGTATAAGTCCAGTTAAATAAGGAATGAGTCCACTTATAAGAATCTCCAAGTTTGCCTCAATGAGTCTGGGAGTGTCTGCATTTGCTGTTGGACATTGATTTTTAACGAGACTGAATTACAGAAAGGCACTTTGAATGCAGAACACAGATAAGAGACCTCACAATGTCAGACTGTTTTCACATGGTGTGAGTTCTCCAACTTCTCCCAGCTTTCATCTTCTCTTGGTAAGAGAGCAAAATAACAAAAATTTTCCAATTCCACCAGTCTACTACCCGAGTCAGTGGAGTGAAGCTGAACACTCATGTCCAACAGCTACCAAATTTCTATTATAAAAAGGAAAACTTGAATAGGGACAGCAACATGTTATGTGTCCTTACAGAATGAACAGTCTAATTTAGAAAATCCATAATGACACTTTTTTTCTTCAAACAAAGTCAGATGGTTCTCTGTTTGAGTGCAGGTGAAACAGTACTCTGTATTCTGTGATAGTGTTTTTGTAACACTTAACCTGATGGGCCCTGACATACAACAAAGTCTACTCTGGTCAAAAATAACTCTTTGTTGCCACCAATAACTGTAACTGTGAGGGGTTACCATGACACTGCTGAAGACAGCTCCTACTGTGATAGTAATGAGAGAGACAATGATCTGTAATGGAGATGGCACTTAGCTTCACATGCAGTCTAAGACCTGCTGAGCAAATATGCACACACATGAACAGTTGATACATTTTCAAAGGTATTTTGTTAGAAGGTTCCCACTTGTTACCCTGTAATCCGTCATATTTGAGCTGGGTAATGAATTTGATGCTTCAGTTAAAGCTTCTGGGTCCCCATGAGAACACAGCCACCAACTTCAAGCTATTAACCTGCACTGTTTCAAAAGCCCCCCGTCATCACCACACACCATTATGAGCTGATCGCAAACAGATAGACTATTAATAGCAGATATCAAATTAATTAAAAAAGGAGAGGAAGGACAAGGTAATGGCAATGAAGTGTCAGAATCTGATATGAAATGACGTGTCTGAAATGGTAAGTATTCCTGCAGACATTTTCAACATCATTCCTGGTACTTTCTTGGCGTTGGAGGAAGTCACCTGTGTTAATTAAAAGTCCATCCCTGTTACTCATCTGCCCACTCTCTCTGTCATAATAACAACCTTTCATTGACTTACAACATGCTTTTTATAAATTCTTTAAAACCTGTTAAATGTAATGTCAAAATGTAAATTTCTGCCTAAATAGACATACCCAAAAGTAACTATTTATCATGAGAGGGCCATAAACAATACCTAGTAATGCTTATACTGCCAGAAATATTAAAATGTCACCTTTCTGAGAAAATAGTTATAAATTGCTGAGATGTTGTCACTTTTGAGGACACTAGCTCAAGTACACAGTACAAACATGATACAAATATACAAATATGACAAATCATATATGATTTTTTTTCATATCTAACAAAAGTGGGGGAATAGGGCTTGAAATGATTGAAATGCTTTCTAAATATAGTAACAATGAAGTTATAAATGACTTACTATAATATTTCACCTTTCTTATAACTGTCAAATAAAATTGGCACCATTTCATATAACTGATGACAGGGCTTTTTCTGCCCAGCCTCCTCTGAGCGACGCACATACTCCATTCAAATGCCTGCTGACTCATTACAACTTCAGATATAAAGCAGCAATCAGCAGTTGAAACAATAACAAAGCATACTACCTGCCCCTGTTTCGGTAAAAAGCTGAGGGATGGGGCTGGAGAAATGTAACCACTCTCAAATTCATATTAGACAGAGCTATGGATGCAAGTACTGACCATCCATGATATCAAAATTATCGTTTTAACTATGTTTTTAGGCTATATTGTTTGTTTACATTTACTTTGTTTACAAACAATGGAATTAAACAAGCTTATATTTTTGTTTTTTTATGGGGTATGGCAGTTGAACTAAGCTCATGAGGCATTCATAATTTATATTCCTCAACAATCAACGGGTACATATAATTAATTTATAAGTCCAAAAATGGATGTAGCAACTGCAGATTGCCCCTTTAAGCACAAAGTGATTTCGTCCCTCTGTGACCAAGAGAAAGTGTTCTTGTTTATATTCTACAAAACAATGGTGTATTTTGTCATGTTGAAAGCTCTAAATCCATCTGAGAACATCACAGCGAGATGAGACTCCTTTTGCTGCAATTGCCAGGGTCTCCCATTTCATATGCTGTATTGTTAGAGGAGCTGCGAGATTCACAGACAGAAGAAATCAATCCTTTGTCTGGATAGCCCAGGAAATGTTAGGTGTTGCTCCCTATGCAAATGAGGTGTCAGATTTCACATCTCAGATGTGCACAGCAATTGATGTTGCGCTGTTCACAGAGTACTCTGTACACAAAACTGGCAGTCGGAACCAGTCCAGAACCACTCAAAGTCCCCTAAATAAGGGACTTAACGTTTAAGATTAACTTGCCTCGAGTCGCCCAGAATCAACACAGCATGGTCAACACCTTAAGCAGGGAAAGCTGTTCTGTTGTCATGTTTGAAAAGCAGCCGAAAATGGTAAATAAAGTTCTAGGGTAGTAGTGTGGTGAAAGCACAAAGCACTTGAGACTGTCAATATAACTTTAAAATGACATATAACCTTCACTGTACCTGTAACAGTTATTTAATTACCCTGGGTCTTCGATGCACAACACTAGACACTTACTGACTCTTGCAGATGTATGGGTTCAATGTCAATGTGGTCTCTGAAAGTCTAAAACATTACAAAGAGATATCTTATGTGTATATTTAAACAGTGTATCCTTTATGCAGAATCAGTCATGTCGGTCTTTACCCCAGTGATCTGCCTCCTATTGAGAAGAACTTCCAAGTGCCGCCATAGAAAATAACCCTTCATGACTATAAGAATCCTAAACTATTCAGATGAAACTACATACATGTAGTTGTGTTGTTGCCAAAAATGCAAGCAGAAAAATAACATCCATATAGTATTTACAAATCATCTTCAATATGAAGATTCATTTAAGTAAGAAGTCATCAATCTAGCTTATTTTATTTTAATATATACCTTTTTGTTTGTTTTTCCAATCTGGGTGACACCGTTTGATGCTGTCCTTTGGCCAAATCAAACCATTGATCCTAATAAAGTAGCACCGTTTTTTAAAATCTTTTCTTTTTAGCATTTCATGACCATCTGTCACAGCAAGCAAACAAACACACTTGCTCTTCCGCTTGCACTCTTCTTCAGCAAAAAATAAGCCAACTTTATAGACTGCTGTAATTGAACCATTGAAGTTGTCCTGAGGCAGAATCTTATCTTCTATCCCTTTGTATCTTCAGTAAACTAGAGGTCCGGTGTCTTTTCCTAGGTCTTGAGAGAGTGTGTGTTGGGGGCGTGCATGTTGTTATGTATGTGCCACATGGTCGTTCTTTAAATCAAGGTTAGTGTCTCCACCCGGGTGTATTCTTTAGGGTCATCAGGAGTTCTCCTATGGGCTCCCTGGTGGGTTGTCTCTGGGTGGTGGTGGTGGCGCCCCCTGTGGTCAGGCAATGGAGGTGGGGGACTGGGCCATCTGGTCCCTCATAGACTGGACACTGCTCAGGATCTTCTTCTGATGGCCGGCCAGGGTCACTCCTATCCTCAACAGGTCTCTGACAAACAAGAGGAACAAATCAAATAAAATGTTATTTGTCACATGCGCCGAATACAACAGGTGTAGACCTTACCATGAAATGCTTACTTACAAGCGCTTAACCAACAATGCAGTTTTAAGAAAATAGAGTTAAGAAAATATTTACTAAATAAACTAAAGTAAAAAAAGTAACACAATAAAAGAACAATAATCAAATCAAATCAAATGTTATTTGCAACATGTGCCGAATACAACAGGGCTTACAGTGAAATGCTTACAAGCCCTTAACCAACAATGCAGATTTTTAAGAAAAAATAAATAAAAGTGTTAAGTAAAAAATAGATAAGTAAAAAATAGAAAATAGCAAATGATTAAAGAGCAGCAGTAAAATAAAATAACAGTAGGGAGGCTATATACAGGGGGTACCGGTACAGAGTCAATGTGCAGGGGCACCGGTTAGTCGAGGTAATTGAGGTAATATGTACATGTGGGCAGAGTTAAAGTGACTAAGCATAAATAATAGTAGCAGCAGCGTAAAAGAGATGGTTGGGGTGGGGTGGGGTGGGGGGGGGGGCAATGCAAATAGTCTGGGTAGCCATGATTAGCTGTTCAGGAGTCTTATGGCTTGGGGGGTAGAAGCTGTTAAGAAGCCTTTTGGACCTAGACTTGGCGCTCCGCTACCGCTTGCCATGCGGTAGCAGAGAGAACAGTCTATGACTAGGGTGTCTGGAGTCTTTGACAATTTTTAGAGCCTTCCTCTGACACCGCCTGGTATAGATGTCCTGGATGGCAGGAAGCTTGGCCCCAGTGATGTACTGGGCCGTACACACTACCCTCTATAGTGCCTTGTGGTCGGAGCCCGAGCAGTTGCCATACCAGGCGGTGATGCAACCAGTCAGGATGCTCTCGATGGTGCAGCTGTATAACTTTTAGAGGATCTGAGGACCCATGCCAAATATTTTCAGTGCAATAGAGATTGCATCATCTGTGGATCTGTTGGGGCGGTATGCAAATTGGAGTGGGTCTAGGGTTTCTGGGATAATGGTGTTGATGTGAGCCATGACCAGCCTTTCAAAGCACTTCATGGCTACAGACTTGAGTGCTATGGGCCAGTAGTCATTTAGGCAGGTTATCTTAGTGTTCTTGGGCACAGGGACTATGGTGGTCTGCTTGAAACATGTTGGTATTACAGACTCAGTCAGGGACATGTTGAAAATGTCAGTGAAGACACTTGCCAGTTGGTCAAAGCATTCTCAGAGTACACATCCTGGTAATCCATCTGGCCCTGCGGCCTTGTGAATGTTGACCTGCTTAAAAGTTTTACTCACATCTGCTATGGAGAGCGTGATCACATAGTCATCCGGAACAGCTGATGCTCTCATGCATGCTTCAGTGTTGCTTGCCTCGAAGCGAGCGTAGAAGTGATTTAGCCATTCTGGTAGGCTTGTGTCACTGGGCAGCTCGCAGCTGTGCTTCCCGTTGTAGTCTGTAATAGTTTTCAAGCCCTGCCACATCCGACGAGCGTCAGAGCTGGTGTAGTACGATTCAATCTTAGTCCTGTATTGACTCTTTGCCTGTTTGATGGTTCGTCGGAGGGCAGAGCGGGATTTCTTATAAGTGTCCGGGTTAGAGTCCCGCTCCTTGAAAGCGGCAGCTCTACCCTTTAGCTCAGTGCGGATGTTGCCGGTAATCCATGGCTTCTGGTTGGGGTATGTACAGTTGAAGTCGGAAGTTTACATACACTTAGGTTGGAGTCATTAAAACTTGTTTTTCAACCACTCCACAAATTTCTTAACAAACTATAGTTTTGGCAAGTCGGTTAGGAGATCTACTTTGTGCATGACACAAGTAATTTTTCCAACAATTGTTTACATACAGATTATTTCACTTATAATTCACTGTATCACAATTCCAGTGGGTCAGAAGTTTACATACACTAAGTTGACTGTGCCTTTAAACAGCTTGGAAAATTCCAGAAAATGATGTCATGGCTTTAGAAGCTTCTGATAGGCTTATTGACATCATTTGAGTCAATTGGAGGTGTACCTGTGGATGTATTTCAAGGCCTACCTTCAAACTCAGTGCCGCAAAATTTTGTAGACCTCCACAAGTCTGGTTCATCCTTGGGAGCAATTTCCAAACGCTTGAAGGTACCACGTTCATCTGTACAAACAATAGTACCCGAGTATAAACACCATGGGACCACGCAGCCGTCATACCGCTCAGGAATAAGACGCATTCTGTCTCCTAGAGATGAACGTACTTTGGTGCGAAAAGTGCAAATCAATCCCAGAACAACAGCAAATGACCTTGTGAAGATACTGGAGGAAACAGGTACAAAAGTATCTATATCCACAGTAAAACGAGTCCTATATCGACATAACCTGAAAGGCCGCTCAGCAAGGAAGAAGCCACTGCTTCCAAAACCGCCATACAAAAGCCAGACTACTGTTTGCAACTGCACATGGGGACAAAGATCATACTTTTTGGAGAAATGTCCTCTGGTCTGATGAAACAAAAATAGAACTGTTTGGCCATATTGACCATCGTTATGTTTGGAGGAAAAAGGGGGATGCTTGCAAGCCGAAGAACACCATCCCAACCGTGAAGCACGGGGGTGGCAGCATCATGCTGTGGGGGTGCTTTCCTGCAGCAGGGACTGGTTCACAAAATAGATGGCATCATGAGGAAGGAAAATTATGTGGAAATATTGAAGCAACATCTCAAGACATCAGTCAGGAAGTTAAAGCTTGGTCGCAAATTGTTCTTCCAAATGGACAATGACCCCAAGCATACTTCCAAAGTTGTGGCAAAATGGCTTAAGGACAACAAAGTCAAGGTATTGGAGTGGCCATCACAAAGCCCTGACCTCAATCCTATAGAACATTTGTGAGCAGAACTGAAAATGCATGTGCGAGCAAGGAGGCCTACAAACCTGACTCAGTTACACCAGCTCTGTCAGGAGGAATGGGCCAAAATTCACCCAACTTATTGTGGGAAGCTTGTGGAAGGCTACCCAAAATGTTTGACCCAAGTTAAGTAATTTAAAGGCAATGCTACCAAATACTAATTGAGCGTATGTAAACTTCTGACCCACTGAGAATGTGATGAAAGAAATAAAAGCTGAAAGAAATAATTCTCCCTACTATTATTCTGACATTTCACATTCTTAAAATAAAGTGCTGATCCTAACTGACCTAAGACAGGGAATTTTTACTAGGATTAAATGTCAGGAATTGTGAAAAACTGAGTTTAAATGTATTTGGCTAAGGTGTATGTAAACTTCTGACTTCAACTGTACGTACGGTCACTGTGGGGACGATGTCATCGATGCACTTATTGATGAAGTCAGTGACTGATGTGGCGTACTTCTCAATGCTATCGGAAGAATCCCAGAACATATTCCAGTCTGTGCTAGCAAAACAGTCCTGTAGCTTAGCATCTCCGTCATCTGACCACTTCCTGCTTTATTTTTTGCTTATAAGCAGGAATCAGGAGGATAGAGTTATGGTCAGATTTGACAAATGGAGGGCGTGGGAGAGCTTTGTACGCGTCTCAGTGTGTGGCCCTCCTGTAGCTCAGTTGGTAGAGCATGGCGCTTGCAACGCCAGGGTTGTGGGTTTGATTCCCACGGGGGGCCAGTATGAAACATTTATGCACTCACTAACTGTAAGTCGCTCTGGATAAGAGCGTCTGCTGAATGATTAAAATGTAAAGGTGGTTTAGCATATTTTTTCCTCTGGTTGCACATTTAACATGCTAAGAAATGAGGTAGAATGGATTTAAGTTTCCCTGCATTAAAGTCCCCGGCCACTAGGAGCGCTGACTCTGGATGAGCGTTTTCCTGTTTACTTATGGCCTTATACAGCTCATTGAGTGCAATCTTAGTGCAAGCAATAATGAGGCTATATACAGGGGTTACCGGCACCGAGTCAATGTGTGGGGGTACAGGTTAGTCGAGAACAGTGTCAACAACAAGGCTGATGGATGGAGGTGTTCATAGTACAGTACCTCATGTCTGTGTGTTCGTGCTTGGATGGAATTACTGAGCTATGGATATTGTACATGTACAAATACATACACAAACATTATCATACCATGCACAAAGACAATAGTATAATATTTTCTGCTTGAGGCAGAGCAGAGAGAAATATTTAGGGCCTGTTTCCAGCGCAGTATACACTGTGCCAGATACACTCCCTGCTAGAGATAAGCACAAGATCTGTTTACTGTTTGTATTTACAATGGTAAGCCCAGAGTGGACATAATTAATTGAGGACTGCTGGGAATTGTTGCTGACTTGTTGTGTAGCCGTCAAAGGGACACCTATTTGATCAGTCTGAACAACCAAAGGCAATCCTTTGTCCTAAAAAACATTTTTAGTCGTGCCACTCTATCAAATCAAAGTGATTAGTAAGACGGAGACCTTGCCGATCTAGATCTATCCAGAGCTCTGAATGCCTGGTGGATTTGAAGTATGACAGCCCTGATCTCCTATGGACGTTTATTGAGGGATTATTCCTGTCTGAGCAAGAAGCATGATTCCCATTATTCTGACATCTGAGACAGCTTTCTGAAGGTGGATGTGTGACTGCAATGGCCTGCCTGGCTGGTTGGCTCTCAGTGAACCTGATTGAAAATATATTCCAGCCTGCCTCAACACGCTACATCTAGAAGAGTGCAAATCTAATTATAGTGGGATAATACTTCTGAGACCTTCTGTAATCTGTGACAAATGCGTGTGTTGCGTGCTTGTGTGTGCGTGCGCATGTGTGTGCAGACGTGTGTGTGTATTCTACGACTGCTAGTGTAACATTCCTCCAGAGTAATTTTGGGAACCATCTGCCTGTTCAAGGGCTGACCAAATGTTGTATTGCTACAGTGAATAGTGATAGGAGGGTTTTGCTGTTTGGTATCTCCTGAGACTCCTGATAAGATGGAAAAATTAGGTGGGTGAGATATGATGAGGTTGGGCCTCAGGACTTACTCTGAGCTGATCTGAGCCACCAGGGGTAGGGAGGTGAAGCCAGAGCCCAGGAAAGTGTCTCTGTACTGCCCCATCTTGATGGCACCTAGCCAATCCTCCACAGAGGTGAAGGTAGTGAAGTCTGGAATAGAGCGGTCTAGCAGGGGCTGAGAAGGCCTGTTGAGAAAAAGAGGAGAGAAGAGAGGGATGAAACAGCAAAGTGATGTGGAAGAGGGGTGAACAGGATAGGGGGTACATAAAAAGGAGAAACCTTGGAAAGGTTTATCAGTAATATACAGTAGTCTACGTGCTCAGAATGTGCACTATGAGTAATGTTACGAGTCAAGGCAGTTCTTGCAGACATACACTGCAGTGATGGTGGCCACAGCTTTGAGGCTTGTAGGGTTGCGGATTATCTTGTCCAGCGTGTTGACGATGTCGTTGAATTTGGGCCGGGCATTTCTATCTTTCTGCCAGCAGTCCAGCATCAGCTGGTGTAGTGCTGTGGGGCAGTCCATGGGAGGGGGCAGCCGGTAGTCCTGCTCTATGGCGTTGATCACCTGGATGAGAAGGAGAGGAGAAAGAGATGGCACATTACAAGAGAGGAAAGGAAGGAAACAGAGAGGGACATAGCAGACCACACTGGGAGACTGAGGATTAAAAGGACATAGACTAAAGGGATGGACAAAGGTGTTGGTTTGGCAGCAAAACATGAAATAAGAAAAAAACGAATCCAGTATGGAAAATGCTCATATTGGTTTTGAAATGTTTTGTATAACGTTCCATGGATCATGGAAGAGTTCATAACCAATTGACAAAGGTTTTTGATGTGCTGTATGTTTCCAGACACCTGCAACTGAACTGCTTCCAGATTGGAGATTTCAGAACACCGGAACAGAACAGCGGATGCCAGCTATAATAGGATTTATTGGCACAGTTCCAATGATACCATCATATCCAACTTAAGCTTCTCTACAGCTTGTCATTGCTTGGCCCTGTATTATACCTAGCTTTGTGTTTGTGTAAACACTGGCTACTCAGAGAGGAAAAATCCACCAAATACAATGTGTAAAGCTTCATTTAACTACACAGAAATGTGCACTCTTAGTGACCCTGATATTTTCACTCTACCTCCAAATCTGTCAATCAAAAGTTACAGTAACATCGCATTTGATTTAATCTATTTTCTCTATCCATACGATCCTCAGCAGATTTTCCCTGGTCTCTGTGTAGCAGCTGAACTTCAGGCAGAACAATGGATACTGCAGCTGATAATTGCTTAAAAAAACGGAGGGATTTTGATATATGCCCATTCCCTGAGTCCCCTTTTATCAGAGAGAGGGTGGTCTCTCCAGACAGCCGTCAATCACCACACCATAAAATAACGCTTTGCCATAGCGACCGGCAGCAGCCAGCTTCCTTGCGGGGGCTGGGGCCTGATTGCTTGTAAAATAGAAAAAAAGGAGAGAGTGAGAATTTAATGAACTGCAACTATATAACCAGAGCTGGTCTCTGTTAAGAAATCTTCTCCCGCCCCCTGACTATTCAACCTTGATTGCAGGAGAGTGGCAGGCGAGAGAGTTGCTGTCTAGGGATTCACTACAGGAGATCTCGTTAGTGGCTGGGGCAGGACTATTGTAAACCGGGAGCCGTGCTGTCAACAATAATCTTCTTTACCTACAGTCATCCAGCATCTCTAGGTGGGTTACTCCAAGGACTTACAGAGTGCTGTGCTGGTGGACACAGCAGTGCCACTACACCTGTTCTGAATAACAACTGCACACAACTACAGAAAGCCTGGCAGACAGGCAGATCAACAACAATTCTGCAGTGTAATATTTGCTATGGAGATTTGAGGAGACCAGTCCCAGCAAGCACATAACGTTCTGAGAACCTAATGTTTCTTAGAACTTCTTAAGAGCATGGTTGTCCTATTATTATTTTGCATACAACCTTCCCACAATTTTTTGGGAATGGTGCAGGATAGTTGCTTGGCTTTGGAACATTCTCAGCACATTTAAGGAACTTGACAAAAAAACATTATTTTCTTGGTATTTCATTACTTTAATAGAATGTTTCCTAAAGTTCAAACATGGTTACATTTCATTTACATTTTGGTAGTGTTCTATGAATGTTCTCCAACTGGTTTGACATTGGGAATGTTCTCAAATAGTTCAGAGAACATTAAGAAACAATGTTCTTTTGTGGGAATTTCGGTACTTCAGCATAACATTTCCTACAGGTTTCCTCATGGTTCTATTTAAAGTCATGTTCTCAAATTGTTCCAAGAACATTAAGAAAACGTTCCATAAAAATCACAAGAAAACTTTAGCAACGTTCAGAGAACGTCCTAATACTGTTATTTAAAAACATATTTATACAGTGGGGAGAACAAGTATATGATACACTGCCGATTTTGCAGGTTTTCCTACTTACAAAGCATGTAGAGGTCTGTAAATCCAGAAAATCACATTGTATGATTTTTAAGTAATTTATTTGCATTTTATTGCATGACATAAGTATTTGATCACCTACCAACCAGTAAGAATTCCGGCTCTCACAGACCTGTTAGTTTTTCTTTAAGAAGCCCTCCTGTTCTCCACTCATTACCTTTATTAACTGCACCTGTTTGAACTCGTTACCTGTATAAAAGACATCTGTCCACAAACTGAATCAAACAGACTCCAACCTCTCCACAATGGCCAAGAGCTGTGTAAGGACAGCAGGGATAAAATTGTAGACCTGAACAAGGCTGGGATGGGCTACAGGACAATAGGCAAGCAGCTTGGTGAGAAGGCAAGAACTGTTGGCGCAATTATTAGAAAATGGAAGAAGTTCAAGATGATGGTCAATCACCCTCGGTCTGGGGCTCCATGCAAGATCTCACCTTGTGGGGCATCAATGATCATGAGGAAGGTGAGGGATCAGCCCAGAACTACACGGCAGGACCTGGTCAATGACCTGAAGAGAGCTGGGACCACAGTCTCAAAGAAAACCATTAGTAACACACTACGCCGTCATGGATTAAAATCCTGCAGCGCACGCAAGGTCCCACTGCTCAAACCAGCGCATGTCCAGGCCCGTCTGAAGTTTGCCAATTACCATCTGGATGATCCAGAGGAGGAATGGGAGAAGGTCATGTGGTCTGATGAGACAAAAATAGAGCTTTTTGGTCTAAACTCCACTTGCCGTGTTTGGAGGAAGAAGAAGGATGAGTACAACCCCAAGAACACCATCCCAACCGTGAACAAGCTTGGCACACCTGTACTTCGGGAGTTTCTCCCATTCTTCTCTGCAGATCCTCTCAAGCTCTGTCAGGTTGGATGGGGAGCTTCGCTGCACAGCTATTTTTAGGTCTCTCCAGAGTTGTTTGATCGGGTTCAAGTCTGGGCTCTAGCTGGGCCACTTAAGGACATTCAGAGACTTGTCACGAAGCAACTCCTGCATTGTCTTGGCTGTGTGCTTAGGGTCGTTGTCCTGTTGGAAGGTGAACCTTCGCCCCAGTCTGAGGTCCTGAGAGCTCTGGAGCAGATTTTCATCAAGGATCTCTCTGTACTTTGCTCCCTTCTTCTTTCCCTCGATCCTGAATAGTCTCCCAGTCCCTGCCGCTGAAAAACATCCCCACAGCATGATGCTGCCACCCCCATGCTTCACCGTGCCAGCTTTCCTCCAGACATGACGCTTGGCATTCAGGCCAAAGAGTTCAATCTTGGTTTCACCAGACCAGAGAATCCTTTTTCTCATGGTCTGAGAGTCCTTTAGGTGCCTTTTGGCAAACTCCAAGCAGGCTGTCATGTGCCTTTTACTGACGAGTGGCTTCCGTCTGGTTACTCTACCATAAAGGCCTGCCTGATTGGTGGAGTGCTGCAGAGATAGTTGTCCTTCTGGAAGGTTCTCGCATCTCCACAAAGAGCTCTGGAGCTCTGTCAGAGTGACCATCGGGTTCTTGGTCACCTCCCTGAACAAGGCCCTTCTCCCCCGATTGCTCAGTTTGACCAGGCGGCCAGCTCTAGGAAGATTCTTGGTGGTTCCAAACTTATTCCATTTAAGAATGATGGAGGCCACTTTGTTCTTGGGGACCTTCAATGCTGCAGAAATGTTTTGGTCCCCTTCCCCAAATCAGTGCCTCGACACAATCCTGTCTCGGAGCACTACAGACAATTCCTTCGACCTCATGGCTTGGTTTTTGCTCTGACATGCACTGTCAACTGTGGGAGCTTATATAGACAGGTGGGTGCCTTTCCAAATCATGTCCTATCAATTGAATTTACCACAGGTGGACTCCAATCAAGTTGTAGAAACATCTCAAGGATGATCAATGGAAACAGGATGCACTGTACATGTATATTTAGTTAATGTATACCAATGCAGGGAGAAAGAGGGCCACAAAATGGTGAACCACTATAAAAAAATGGTATAGAAAAGTATTTTGTATTTTGAAAAGTATCTTGTTACAAAATACATTGGAGTTTAATTCAGCCCAGTGTAATATAAATGACAAAATACTAATGAGTAATTAAAATACATGATCATAGTATTCTCAGTTTTTAATACAGTTACATATCTGTTGATACTGCAAGGACAGGAAGTTGTGTAATACTCACGTCCTGGTTGCTCATGTCCCAGTACGGCCTCTCGCCGAATGACATCACCTCCCACATGACGATGCCGTAGCTCCACACGTCACTGGCTGAGGTGAACTTCCTGTAGGCAATGGCCTCAGGGGCTGTCCACCTCACCGGGATCTTACCTCCCTGAGAGAGCGAGAGAGAGCGAGAGAAGGAAGTAATAGAGGGAGATTTTTTCGACTGTAATTTCATGTCTCTTTACACTGGCTGGTTTGACATGACATTTGACAGCTTGCTGCTTTTTAAAGTCAAGGCCAAGTTGTCATAGCCAAAGACGAATTAGAATAATATCTGTGAGCTTCCTCTTGCAAACACACTTCATGATCAAGAACAGAGTTTTACTGAAATCATCCCACCAATCACAGAGTATTTAAGCAAAACCTACAATTTCCATATCAAAAACATATGCAGCTGACCATTTATATATAATTTTAAACATTCTTTTGGAAAACGTATTTTTTAAATCAGATGCTGACTGCAGGGATCTATTGATGTATTTAGAAAGAAAGATTAGTGGTACATCTGTAATGACCGAGTGTACCAACAACACTGGCTTACCATGCAGTTCTTTTGATGAACGGTGTTCACTTCATAATCCCCACCATGCATACAGCACACCCTGGAGTGATTTCTCTATACAATTATTGGAGGAGTGTACTCTTAACAGCACCAATTGGACTGAATGTGAACGCTTTTATATAAGCCTGATTTCAAAGGAACTGAGGGCTTACACAGCCCTCCGGATCTAGCTACATGATCTACGGGGATATTTTTGATGAGTGTGCGCAGTCAATGAAACGCTGTTAGTGAAGCGCTGGATCTCATCTATTGGAGACATCTGGAGATGGTTGGATTAAAGACCTCTGTAAACTCTGTCTGGAGTTCTGGACTGAAAGTCGTGAAGCTCAAGGCCTGTTCTAATTGTTCTGGGCAGAGAGTCTTGGTTTGAAAAGCCTGTGCTGTGAATAAAGGACTGAGAGAAAATCCCCACTGAGCGTTGAGCAGGGAAACCTCCATAAATAATATTCACACGCCAACAACAGCTAAATGGATCTGATGCTTACAAGTCAGATGTCGACTCAAGAATAACAGAATACTAAGGATCCATTTTACAAGGAAGATATTTGATGTGGAATGTATTCAATGTGGCAACAGCCAACATGAGACTAATCATTGTTCTGAAGCATGTCTCGAATCAGACGCTCAGTTCTTAGTTCTTGTGTATTGCGTATTTCATTTACAGCAGCTTTGAGCCACTTTCCACTGCATGTTCTTTGGCTGAGCTCAGATGTCTCTTCCACAACAGAAGAAAGGAATACTACAGCATAAAACAATACAAAAAATCCCAGCATTTCCTGCTGAACTTATAATGGTTGGCTGGTTTGAGGCTGCATTGCAGATCCCCTATTATTAACCATGTGGGAGGCAGCCAGGTTTTGAATAAAGTGAATTGTTGAAATGCAGAGGCAAACAAAAGGCTTGGCACACACTGTATGTACATAACGAATAGTCAACATTCTCTCTCCCAATAAAAACTGTGAGAAGAGAGAATTCCCTCAGGTCCCCTGTACCTCAGTTGGTAAAGCATGGCGCTTGCAACGCCAGGGTTGTGGGTTCGTTTCCCACGGGGGGCCAGTATGAAAAATGTATGCACTCACTAACTGTAAGTCGCTCTGGATAAGAGCGTCTGCTAAATGACTGAAATGTAAATGAAAACTTAAAAGTGGGTAGCAGTATGAAAGTAAGGTCTATAGAAAAGAGCTTCAGACACTGTGTGAAGTACACTCTTAGGAAAAAAAGGTTTATTTGGCTGTCCCCATAGGAGAACCCTTTTGGGTTCCACGTAGAACCCTCTGTAGAAAGGGTTCTACATGGAACTAAAAAGGGTTCAACCTGCAACCAAAAACGGTTCTTCAAAGTATTCTCCTATGGGGACAGCCGAATAACTATTTTTCTAAGAATGTATAGTGTAGGGAGAGGAGAAAGGCATAATGTGCTGTGTTTTGGAACTGCATTCCTCGTGTTGGTTACTCCATGACTGTTACTTAAATGAATGACAATAATTATTGATGATGTATTTGAGTCTTTTTTTTTGGGGTTATGCTACCTACATACAACAATACAGAAACAACCTCTCTCCTGTATCTCTCTATAGCACAAAAACAGGCAAACCTCTCTACCTCTCCTCTGCCGACAACCCCCCCCCCCCCCCCCACCCCCCACTCACACACACAATCTTCATGTAGTACAGTATACATTTACACACATATAACATAGCTCATATATCTGCCACAGCAAATCATAAAATAGTAATGTGAAGCCTAACCAAATGACTTAGTTTTTCCAATCTTCAAGGATAAAGTAGACTATTAATATGGCAGAGGGGTGATGAAAAATGCATTTCATGCCAGCTGGCAATTTGGTTTATGATCCCATTAGGTGAAGAGAATGGCACTAATTCTGTTTTTAAAAAATCCAGTGGTATCGCTTTTCCCATCTCACGTTCTTGTTTTTATAGGACAGTTAAACCCAAATCAATATGACCTTTTAATTGGGCCATTTCTGCAAAGCAGGCATTTCCCCTCTGTCTCCAGTGACTTTCATCCCATTTTAAATCCAAGTGGTTTCACACTGTCCAAACCATGAGTATGTTTATCTACATGGCAGGAAGAAGGGAAACCCAGCATCAATGGGCATTTAGAGAGTAGTACAAATGATATTGTCACGGATTCTGCCGAGGCTGCTCCTCCTCCTAGTTCGGGCAGGCTTCGGCGTTCGTCGTCCCCGGAGTACTAGCTGCCACCGTTGAATGTTTCTATGTGTGATTGCTTTTGTCTGTCTGTCACACCTGTGTCCGTTTGTGTCTGATTACGTGTTCTATAAGTTGCCTGTGTTGTATTGGTTAGGTTGTGTGTTGTTTTTCGCCTGTCCGTAGTGCTGCGTGTTTTGTATCTGTTTCTTTGTTTATTGTTTTACGCATAGTTTGCGTATAGCTCGCCTCTGTTTTTCTTGAGGCCGTTTACTGTATCTTTGCCTTGTAGTTTCACCAGTAAACTTTGTTGGACTAAGCTTCGGTGTCCTGCGCCTGACTCCCACACCACATACACCTCAGCCTTGACAGAACAACACACCTTTATGGAGTCAGCAGGAGCAGTGGCGGCACCCAAGTCGCTGGAGGATCGGATCAGCGACCAAGACACCATGATCCGGCAACTTGGGGCCGCCATGAACGAGGTGTCCAACACTCTGCGCCGGTTGGTTACGGGAGAGGTGCCCACGCCTTCTCACACCATCCCGTCACCAACGGCCAGTCCTCCTCTCTCAGCACCGGGACCCAGTGGCATTCGACTCTCGCTCCCGAGGGCATATGATGGTTCTGCAGCCGGGTGTCAGGGGTTCCTCCTGCAGGTGGAACTCTACCTGGCCACCATACACCCAGCGCCCTCGGGATACGAGAGCGTCTCCGCCCTCATCTCCTGTCTATCCGGCAAGGCATTGGAGTGGGCCAACACCGAATGGAGGGGAATAGACGCCGCTACCATCACCTACGCGGAGTTCTCCCGCCGCTTCAGGACTGTCTTCGATCATCCACCTGAGGGGAAGGCGGCGGGGGAGCGTCTGTTCCACCTCCGACAGGGGAAGAGGAGCGCACAGGAGTTCGCCCTGGAGTTCCGGACTCTAGCGGCGGATGCGGGGTGGAATGGGAGGGCCCTCATCGACCATTACCGGTGTAGCCTACGAGAGGACGTTCGTCGTGAGCTGGCCTGCAGGGACACCAACCTATCCTTCGACCAGTTGGTGGACATCTCCATCCGTCTCGACACCCTGCTGGCTACCCGCGGACGTCCCGTGTGGGGGTCGTCCATTCCACCCTCCAGCACCTCCGAGCCGATTCCCATGGAGCTCGGAGGTGCTGGCGCTAGAGAGAGGAGGAGAGAGAGCCCGAGGGGGGCCATCCCCTGCACCAACTGTGGCCGTGGAGGACACACCGCGGCCAGGTGCTGGGGAGGGTCTCCTGGGAGAGGGGACAACAGGTCACGCACTGGGGAGTCATTCCAGGTGAGTAGGCGCCCCACTTACCCAGAGCTCTCTGTTGGTCACATGTGTATACCTGTGAGATTTCCACAGGTGGCACCTCATTCCCAGCATAAGGCGCTAGTAGATTCAGGCGCAGCTGGGAATTTTGTTGATCGTGCATTTTGTTATAGGTTAGGAATTCCCCTTCGGCCGGTAGAAGCCCCCTTTCCTGTTCATGCCCTAGACAGCCGGCCGTTGGGGTCGGGGTTGATCAGAGAAGTCACAGCACCACTTAAGATGACGACGCAGGGGGGTCATGAGGAGATCATTCAGTTTTATCTGATTGACTCTCCTGCGTATCCCGTGGTGCTGGGGCTTCCCTGGTTAAGCGCCCATGATCCTACCATTGCGTGGCAACAGAGGGCTCTTATGGAGTGGTCTGCCCAGTGTGTAGGGAGATGTCTAGGTGTTTCCTTAGGGGCGACCTCGGTAGAGAGTCCGAACCAAGTGCCCGCAATGCGCATTCCCCCTGAATATGAGGATTTAGCACTTGTGTTCAGCAAAGCGAGGGCAACACGGCTACCACCTCATAGACAGGGGGATTGTGCGATAGATCTCCAAACAGGAGCGGCACTTCCGCGGAGCCGTGTGTATCCCAAGAGGAGACAGCGGCTATCGAGACTTACATAGCCGAGTCCTTGGCACAGGGATACATACGGTCCTCCACTTCCCCGGTTTCCTCGAGTTTCTTTTTTGTGAAGAAGAAGGACGGGGGTTTGCGCCCGTGTATTGATTACCGTAGTCTCAATCAGATCACGGTTAAGTACAGTTACCCTCTTCCACTGATTGCGACTATGACGGAATCATTATGCGAGCGCGTACAATCTGGTGCACATTAGGGAGGGGTATGAATGGAAAACAGCATTTAGCACCACCTCGGGTCATTACGAGTACCTCGTCATGCCATACGGGTTAATGAATGCTCCTTCAGTCTTCCAATCCTTTGTTGACGAGATTTTCCGGGACATGCATGGGCAGGGTGTGGTAGTGTACATCGACGACATCCTAGTGTACTCTTCTACACGAGCCGAGCATGTAGCCCTGGTGTGCCGAGTGTTGAGGAGACTGTTGGAGCATGACTTGTATGCCAAGGCAGAGAAATGCTTGTTCTTCCAGGAGTCCGTCTCCTTTTTGGGTTATCGGTTGTCCGCGTCTGGTGTGAAGATAGAGGTTGACCGTGTGTCGGCCGTGCGTAATTGGCAAACTCCAACCACTGTAAAAGAGGTGCAGCAGTTTTTGGGTTTTGCTAATTACTACCGGAGGTTTATCTGGGGCTTTGGACAGGTTGCAGCTCCCATTACGTCCCTGTTAAAGGGGGGTCCGGTTCGCTTGCAGTGGTCAGCTGAGGCGGACAGGGCATTTGTCAAACTGAAAAACCTGTTCACCTCGGCTCCGGTGCTGGCGCATCCGGATCCCTCTTTACCATTCCAAGTAGAGGTAGACGCGTCCGAGGCCGGTATTGGGGCAGTCCTGTCGCAACGGTCCGGCACGCCACCTAAGCTCCGCCCCTGTGCGTTCTATTCTAAGAAGCTCAGCTCGGCGGAGCGTAATTATGACGTAGGGGACAGGGAGCTGTTAGCTGTAGTCCAGGCCCTAAAGGTGTGGAGGCATTGGCTTGAGGGGGCTCAACACCCTTTCCTCATTCTGACTGATCACCGTAACCTGGAGTACATCCGGGCAGCTAGGAGATTGAACCCTCATCAGGCTAGGTGGAACATGTTCGTGACCCGGTTTGTTTTTAAGATCACATACATCCCAGGGTCCCAGAACGGTAAGGCAGACGCCCTGTCCCGGCGGTATGACACAGAGGAGAGGTCCATTGAGCCTACTCCCATACTGCCGGAGTCTTGTCTGGTGGCTCCGGTGGTGTGGGAGGTCGATGCTGAGATCGAGCGGGCACTGCGTACCGACCCTACTCCCCCCGAGTGTCCTGTGGGGCGGACGTACGTTCCGCTCGAGGTTCGTGATCGCCTTATTTATTGGGCTCATACATCACCCTCCTCTGGACATCCAGGTATTGGCCGGACAGTGCACTGCCTTAGCGTAAAATACTGGTGGCCAACGTTAGCTAGGGATGTGAGGGTTTATGTCTCCTCCTGCCCGTTCCACAACGACCATGGTCCCACCTCTCGGTGGATTTCGTGACCGACCTACCCCCCTCCCAGGGGAATACCACCATTTTGGTCGTTGTGGATCGGTTTTCCAAGGCCTGTCGTCTCCTCCCAATGCCGGGTCTCCCTACTGCCCTACAGACCGCTGAGGCCCTATTTACCCACGTGTTCCGGCACTATGGGGTCCCCGAGGATATTGTGTCTGACCGAGGTCCCCAGTTCACCTCCAGAGTCTGGGGGGCGTTCATGGAACGCTTGGGGGTCTCGGTGAGCCTTACCTCGGGGTACCATCCAGAAAGTAATGGGCAGGTTGAACGAGTCAACCAGGATGTGGGTAGGTTTCTGAGGTCCTATTGCCAGGACCGGCCGGAGGAGTGGTCTAGGTATATCCCCTGGGCAGAGATGGCCCAGAACTCTCTCCGCCACTCCTCCACCAATGTAACACCTTTCCAGTGTGTTTTAGGTTATCAGCCGGTCCGGGCACCATGGCATGAGAGCCAGATCGAGGCCCCTGCGGTGGATGAGTGGATTCGGCGCTCGGAGGAGACGTGGGACGCTGCCCATGTCCATCTGCAGCGGGCCATCCGTCAACAAAAGGCGAGCGCCGATCGCCACCGCAGTGAGGGACCGGTATACGCACCGGGAGATCGAGTCTGGCTCTCGACTCGAAACCTGCCCCTCCGCCTGCCCTGCCGGAAGCTGGGTCGGCGGTTTGTGGGGCCCTTTAAAGTCCTGAGAAGATTGAACGAGGTGTGTTACAGGTTACAACTGCCTATTGAGTACAAGAATATTAACCCCTCGTTCCATGTGTCTCTTCTCAGGCCGGTGGTAGCTGGCCCACTCCAAGAACATGAGATAGGAGAGACCCCTCCGCCCCCTTTGGACATCGAGGGGGCCCCAGCGTACAGGGTCCGGACCATCTTGGACTCGAGGCGCCGGATGGGTGGTCTCCAGTATCTCGTGGAGTGGGAGGGGTACGGTCCGGAGGAACGGTGCTGGGTGCCTAGGAGGGACATCCTAGATCCATCCCTCCTGACCGAGTTCCACCGTGGGCATCCCACGCGCCCGGGTCCGTGTCCTCCTGGCCGCCCCCGAGGCCGGGGTCGGCGCACGGCTGGAGCCACGCGTCAAGGAGGGGGTACTGTCACGGATTCTGCCGAGGCTGCTCCTCCTCCTAGTTCGGGCAGGCTTCGGCGTTCGTCGTCCCCGGAGTACTAGCTGCCACCGTTGAATGTTTCTATGTGTGATTGCTTTTGTCTGTCTGTCACACCTGTGTCCGTTTGTGTCTGATTACGTGTTCTATAAGTTGCCTGTGTTGTATTGGTTAGGTTGTGTGTTGTTTTTCGCCTGTCCGTAGTGCTGCGTGTTTTGTATCTGTTTCTTTGTTTATTGTTTTACGCATAGTTTGCGTATAGCTCGCCTCTGTTTTTCTTGAGGCCGTTTACTGTATCTTTGCCTTGTAGTTTCACCAGTAAACTTTGTTGGACTAAGCTTCGGTGTCCTGCGCCTGACTCCCACACCAGATACACCTCAGCCTTGACAGATATTGATATTCTCTGGAAGAACATTTAGTGGAGAGATACGGGTAGATATAGTACAAACATTACGTATACCTCCCTAACATAAAGTACTCCCATGCTTCCTGCTTAACTCATGCTCTATGACTTATTTAGGGTTAAGTGCCTTGCTCAAGGGCACAACGACAGATTTGTCACCTAGTTGGCTCAGGGATTCAATCCAGCGATCTTTTGGTTACTGGCCCAACCGCTAGGCTACCTGCTGTACCTGCTGCACCTGTGCGTCAATCTAAGTCACATAATAAAAAAATCCCCATCAAAATCTGTCAGTTTAAGCTGTGTCTCAAAACATATTTAAAAAGCCCTTTCAGAGCCAACCAACAGGACATTGGCTGGAGAGCTTGAATTAAAAGGGAAAACAAACATAAATAAATCAATAGTGTTGTTCAGCAGTGCGGTCTGAGGTGCACAGGGCAGAGCTCGTTAGGTGAAAAGGGCAACCCCAGCCCAGAGAGTGCCGTTTCCCATTTCAAACAGTAGTGGAGCAGCTCAGCTCTTGTAATGGAAACAGCTAGCCCATTAGCCATGTGCATTTCTCATGCTGAGCTGGGATATGATGAGATACTGAAGCATTGGAGCTCATTGGAGCTCATTGGAGTCCCATTGAGACCAAGGACTCTTTCACAAGGGAGCCCTGCATGCACACAATTTACATAATACATAGAATGCAAATATACAAAATTACAAACACACCAAGAAAAACAATCACATTCCTCAGCAAAGAGGAACGGCCTGAGAGGTACCAATACATCCAGATGTAGTGCATTGTTTCCCAACTCAAGTCCTCCAGTGCCCCCAACAGCACACATTTTTATTGTAGCTCTGGACAAGCACACCTGACTAAACTTGTCAACTAATCATCAAGCCCTCAGTGAGTTGAATCAGGTGTTTTTGTCGGGGCTACAACAAAGATGTGTTCTGTTGGGGTTACTCGAGGACCGGAGTTGGGAAACACTGTCGTTGGGAACTCTGAATATTGTTCCATACATCGGGTGCAAAGAAACAAAAATCTTGATTTACTTAACTCTGTGGAGACTGAAGGGATCGCCAGAGTTATCCATCCCTGAGAGGTTATTCATTATGATTTTTTTGTTATTTTTTATTAATAATGTATTTACAACACATACAACATATCACACTAACCAAACAACAACAAACAAAACAACACATGTAAACACATGACAACATTGTTCTTGCTCCTCTGTTTTTGACTCAGTCACATTTCCATACTTTCCTTTCTTAACTTCCTTCCTTTACTTTTCTTTCTTTGCATATCACAATTTCATCCTAACAAATAATCAAAATACAAATGTTGCATACTGTACATGGGAGGGCTGCAACAAAATGTCAAGAACAATAAATAAATAGGTCATTCATATTATGAAATGGTAAAGTTGGAGTCAAGATAAAATTGCCAGCAATTTCTCATGTACATTATTTGTATAAAATGATTATTGATTGGTATATTGATTTTTTATCAATAGTTTTGTATCAATACCCATGATTAATTACATATTATAAATAACATTTTCCCACTTTTTCATTCACTCCAATACAGTCACTTCAAACCTGGCCAATATTTTTTCATATTCCTTTAGCTTTCCTTTTCCATTTGCAATATATTATTTTCAATTTGACAGTTATTCATGATGTTCAGTTAGGTATAGTTTTCCCAGCAAAACACAGCTCATAGGAGAGAGAGAGCTGATTCAAATGGACAGGGCTGGTTATACTTCATCCCACCATCCCCCTCCATTTCTTGTCATTGTGAAAGCATTAGACAGATGATGGAGATTCTAGGGTGTATGGTTCAATCAGACAACCATGTCATCAGGATGTTAATGTGGAGTGGCCCTCACCTCATGCTAGTCAGCCTGCGGCAGAGACAGTGGAGCAGGGGATGGGGCAGACCAGGAGTCTTAATTAGCAGGCGGCCAACAGAGCACAGAGTACAGCCATCACACTCCAGCCTCCCCTCAGCCTCCCTCAGCCATCCACCCAGAACCAAAGGGTCAGCCCTCTGGGCCAACCATGACAGGATCAACACTCACTCCCTCTCTGCCATAATCACCTACACAGTCCCATACTGATCAACTATACACACCCACAGACAATAGTTTTCTAGGCGAGGAAATTCAAAGCAGGGAATCTATAATACGGAGTACGACTCAATAGTGTATCATGAAACAAAAATTAAATTAAACTACTCTCTGATTAGATCTATAATACATCTTTATAGGCAAGACAGTGTAGCCTAGCAGAGATCTTAGATGACACCAGCAGGGTTGTCTATTACAACGCTCCTGCAAGCAGCAATCAATCATTTGCTATCATCTACAGTTGAAGTCGGAGGTTTACATACACTTAGGATGGAGTCATTAAAACTCGTTTTTCAACCACTCCACAAATTTCTTGTTAACAAACTAAAGTTTTGGCAAGTCGGTTAGGACATCTACTTTGTGCATGACACAAGTAATTTTTCCAACAATTGTTTACAGACAGACTATTTCAATTATAATTCACTGTATCACAATTCCAGTGGGTCAGAAGTTTACATACACTAAGTTGAATGTGCCTTTAAACATCTTGGAAAATTCCAGAAAATGATGTCATGGCTTTAGAAGCTTCTGATAGGCTAATTGACATCATTTGAGTCAATTGGAGGTGTACCTGTGGATGTATTTCAAGGCCTACCTTCAAACTCAGTGCCGCTTTGCTTGAGATCATGGGAAAATCAAAAGAAATCAGCCAAGACCTCAGAAAAGAAATAGTAGACCTCCACAAGTCTGGTTCATCATTGGGAGCAATTTCCAAACACCTGAAGGTACCACATTCATCTGTACAAACAATAGTACTCAAGTATAAACACCATGGGACCACGCAGCCGTCATACCGCTCAGGAAGGAGACGCGTTCTGTCTCCTAGAGATGAACGTACTTTGGTGCGAAAAGTGCAAATCAATCCCAGAAAAACAGCAAAGGACCCTGTGAAAGATGCTGGAGGAAACAGGTACAAAAGTATCAATATCCACAGTAAAACGAGTCCTATATCGACATAACCTGAAAGGCCGCTCAGCAAGGAAGAAGCCACTGCTCCAAAAGCGCCATAAAAAAGCCAGACTACTGTTTGCAACTGCACATGGGGACAAAGATCGTATTTTTTGGAGAAATGTCCTCTGGTCTGATGAAACAAAAATAGAACTGTTTGGCCATAATGACCATCGTTATGTTTGGAGGAAAAAGGTGGTACTTGCAAGCCGAAGAACACCATCCCAACCGTGAAGCACGGGGGTGGCAGCATCATGCTGTGGGGGTGCTTTACTGCAGGAGGGACTGGTGCACTTCACAAAATAGATGGCATCATGAGGAAGGACAATTATGTGGATATATTGAAGCAACATCTCAAGACATCAGTCAGGAAGTTAAAGCTTGGTCGCAAACTGGTCTTCCAAATGGACAATGACCCCAAGCATACTTCCAAAGTTGTGGCAAAATGGCTTAAGGACAACAAAGTCAAGGTATTGGAGTGGCCATCACAAAGCCTTGACCTCAATCCTATAGAACATTTGTGGGCAGAACTGAAAAAGCGTGTGCGAGCAAGGAGGCCTACAAACCTGACTCAGTTACACCAGCTCTGTCAGGAGGAATGGGCGAAAATTCACCCAACCTATTGTGGGAAGCTTGTGGAAGGCTACCCGAAACGTTTGACCCAAGTTAAACAATTTAAAGTCAATGCTACCAAATATTAATTGAGTGTATGTAAACTTCTGACCCACTGGGAATGTGATGAAAGAAATAAAAGCTGAAATAAATCATTCTCTCTACTATTATTCTGACATTTCTTAAAATAAAGTGGTGATCCTAACTGACCTAAAACAGGGAATTTTTACTAGGATTACATGTTAGGAATTGTGAAAAACTGTGTTTAAATGTATTTGGCTAAGGTGTATGTTAACTTCTGACTTCAACTCTATGTGTGAGAGAGGGTGTCTTTGCATAGGCAGACATGCACCCATCTCAGACATGGGTTGTTATTCCGTTCATAATGCCAGTGTCTGAGTTCTACATTGTGAGATAATTCTATCAACTTTGTTAAAGGGAATGAGAAAAATCTACTGTGTGCTTTTAGAAGGTTGAGATGTTCTGATTAGAGCTGTTGTGGAGGCTGCCCAATGGGAGAATTTCATAATAAAATTCTGCCTCTGCACACAGACAGACAGATACAAAGAATTGGACTAGGTTTCTCTCTTAAATTTAAAGAGATTCTCCGGTACTTTTGTATACTTTTAGCCAGTAGTTCTGAAAGTAGCGTTCACAAGCCAAAAGTGGTCCCCGAAAATGGTGTACTACATCACATACTGTATTAGCAGATATGTGCACCACATCATTACTCTCTCTCTCGTTCTGCTGTGTGTGCATCTTGTTAGCTGTCACTCAAATGACGATGGGCTGAGACTCATTGGTTATAACTAAAATTGCCAGGGGGCTGGCCCACATGCTCCAAGATGTCGTAGCAGTGTGGTCGTGTATTATGTTGTGTCCTCGTGTAAATAGCCAGTTTTTTTGTTGTAACCAAATATACTATCCTGCAACCTGCCTCACCCAATGTGGAACAGATTCTATTATTTCTTAATTTTTTATAAATGGCTGAAACTAGCCAGCGGTCTTCACCACTCTCCGTGGCCTGCACTACCTACCAGCCAGCTCTAGCCTGGACAATTATCGGTCTGCACAGCGTGCTATCGACCCAGAGCATATCGGATTTTCTGCCGGAATCACTAAGTCACTGGACCTTAACAACGGATCATCACAACTAGCTAGCTGCAACAGAATGGCTGCTGTTGGCTAATTCACCACTGACCCGATGCACCAGTTAGCTAGCCTCGAGCCAGGCCCATCTCCCGGCTATCTACTTCTCTGTCAACCGAACGGGACCTCGGAGCCCCGCCGATCCATCACGACTGGTCTGCCGACGTAATTGTCTGATGTGGTTTCAATAGGCTTCCCATTGCGACGACCACGAAGATCCATCTGACAGCCCCGGCCCGCTAGCACGCGCAATCAACAGCCGTGCCTCTTGCTCGCCTGTGCTGTAGCAGCCTACAAACTGCTCCCAGATTTAGCTATTGCTGTTCACTGGACCTTATGATCACTCAGCTACACAGCTGATGCCTGCTGGACTCTTCCTTTACACGGTACCTTATCCTGTTTATCTGTTTAGCCTCAGCCCAAACTTTCATCGCCATTACCAGTTGTTGTCTTAGACCTCTCTAAATGTATTTTAATTTTTTTAGCAGACGCGCTTACCCAGAGCGACTTACAGGAGCAATTAGGGTTAAGTGCCTTGCTCAAGGGCACATTGACAGATTTTTCCCCTAGTCGTCTCGGGGATTAGAACCAGCGACCTTTCGGTTACTGGCACAACGCTGTTAACCACTAAGCTACCTGCCGCCCCGAATAACACCAGTGATTGCGTTATGCCTCTCTCCCATGTCAATATGCCTAGCCTATTGCTGTTTGGGCTAGTTCTTATTGTACTATTTCACTGTAGAACCTCCAGTCCCGCTCAACCAGCCTCAGAGAGCTCCTTTGTCCCACCCCCCATACATGCGGAGACCGGCTCAATCGGTACCTCCAGTGATGCTACCTCTTTCATCGCTACCCAATGCTTAGGTGTACCTCCACTGTACTCATATCCTTCCATATCCTTGTCTGTACATAATGCCCTGAATCTATTCTACAACGCCCGGAAATCTGCCCCTTTTATTCTCTGTACCCAATGCACTAGAAGACCAGTTCTTAAAGCCTATAGCCGTATCCTTATTCTCTTCCTCCTTTGTTCCTCTGGTGATGTAGAGGTAAATCCAGGCCCTGTAGCCCCCAGTATTACTCCTACTCCCCAGGCACTATCATTTGTTGACTTCTGTAACCGTAAAAGCCTTGGATTCTTGCATGTCAACATCAGAAGCCTCCTCCCCAAGTTTGGGTTATTCACTGCGATAGCACACTCTGCCAACCCTGATGTTCTAGCAGTGTCTGAATCCTATCTTAGGAAGGACACCAACAATTTTGAAATGTCCATCCCGAATTACAGCATTTTCCATCTAGATAGAACTGCCAAAGGGGGCGGGATATGCTTAACACCCCGGCCATCCTACAATCTAAACTAGATGCCCTCAATCTCACACAAACTATCAAGGAACCTACCAGGTACAACCCTAAATCCATAAACATGGGCACCCTCATTGATATCATCCTGACTAATTTACCCTCTAAATACACCTCCGCTGTCTTCAACCAGGATCTCAGCGATCACTGCCTCATTGCCTGCATCCGTAATGGGGCCGCGGTCAAACGACCACCCCTCATCACTGTCAAACGCTCCCTAAAACACTTCAGCGAGCAGGCATTTCTAATTGACCTGGCCAGGTATCCTGGATGGATATTGACCTCATTCCGTCAGTAGAGGATGCCTGGTTGTTCTTTAAAAGTGCTTTCCTCTCCATCTTAAATAAGCATGCCACATTCAAACAATGCAAAACTAAGAACAGATATAGCCCCTGGTTCACCCCAGACTTGATTGCCCTTGACCAGCACAAATACATCCTGTGGCGTACTGCATTAGCATCGAACATGCAACTTTTCAGGGAAGTCAGGAACCAATATACACAATCAGTTAGGAAAGCAAAGGCTAGCTTTTTCAAACAGAAATGTGCATCCTGTAGCACTAACTCCAAAAGGTTTTGGGACACTGTAAAGTCCATGGAGAATAAGAGCACCTCCTCCCAGCTACCCACTGCACTGAGGCTAGGAAACACTGTAACCACCGATAAATCTACGATAATCGAGAATTTCAAAAAGCATTTTGCTACGGCTGGCCATGCTTTCCACCTGGCTACCCCTACCCCGGCCACCAGCTCTGCACCCTCCGCTGCAACTTGCCCATCTTGCCCGCCGAAATTGTCGCAACCCCTATTACTAGCCTGTTCAACCTCTCTTTCGTATCGTCTGAGATCCCCAGAGATTGGAAAGCTGCTGCGGTCATCCCCCTCTTCAAAGGGGGTGACACTCTAGATCCAAACTGTTACAGACCTATATCCTCCCTGCCCTGCCTTTCGAAAGTATTTGAAAGCCAAGTTAACAAACAGATCACCGACAATTTCGAATCCCACCGTACCATCTCCGCTATGCAATCTGGTTTCCGAGCTGGTCATGGGTGCACCTCAGCCACGCTCAAGGTCCTAAACGATATAATAACCGCAATCGATAAAAGACAGTACTGTGCAACCATCTTCATCGACCTGGCTAAGGCTTTTGACTCTGTCAATCACCGCATTCTTATTGGCAGACTAAATAGCCTTGGTTTCTCAAATGACTGCCTCGCCTGGTTCAACAACTACTTCTCAGATAGAGTTCAATGTGTCAAATCGGAGGGCCTGTTGTCTGGACCTCTGGCCGTCTCTATGGGGGTGCCACAGGGTTCAATTCTCGGGCCGACTTTATTCTCTGTGTATATCAATGCTCTTGCTGCTGGTGACTCTCAGATCCACCTCTACGCAGACGACACCATTTTGTATACATCTGGCCCTTCATTGGACACTGTGTTAACAAACCTCCAAACGAGCTTCAATGCCATACAACACTCCTTCCGTGGCCTCCAACTGCTATTAAACACTAGTAAAACTAAATGAATGCTCTTCAATCGAACGCTGCTTGCACCCTCCCGCCCGACTAGAATCACTACTCTCAGCGGGTTTGACTTAGAATATGTGGACAACTACAAATACCTAGGTGTCTGGTTAGACCGTAAACTCTCCTTCCAGACTCACATTAAGCATCTCCAATCCAAAGTTAAATCTAGAATTGGCTTCCTATTTCGCAACAAAGCCTCCTTCACTCATGCTGCTAAACATTCCCTCGTAAAACTGACTACCCTACCGATCCTTGACTTCGGTGATGTCATTTACAAAATAGCTTCCAACACTCTACTCAGCAAATTGGATGTAGTCTATCACAGTGCCATCCATTTTGTCACCAAAGCCCCATATACTACCCACCATTGTGACCTGTACGCTCTCATTGGATGGCCCTCACTACATATTTGTCGCCAAACCCACTGGTTCCTGGTCATCTATAAATCTCTTCTAGGCAAATCCCTGCCTTATCTTAGCTCATTGGTCACCATAGCAACACCCACCCGTAGTATGCGTTCCAGCAGGTATATCTTATTGGTCATCCACAAAGCCAACACCTCCTTTGGCTGCCATTCCTTCCAGTTCACTGCTAAAAATGACTGGAACGAACTGCAAAAATCTCTGAAGCTGGAGACACTTATCTCCCTCACTATCTTTAAGCATCAGTTGTCAGAGCAGCTTACCGATCACTGCACCTGTACACAGCCCATCTGTAATTAGCCCACCCAACTACTTCAATCCCATATTGTTATTTACATTGTTATTTATTTTGCTCATTTGCACTCCAGTATCTCTATTTGCACATCATCTTCTGCACATCTATCACTCCAGTGTTAATACTAAATTGTAATTATTTTGCACTATGACCTATTTAATGCCTTACCTCCATAACTTACTACATTTGCACACACTGTATATAGATTTTCTATTGTGTTATTGACTGTACGTTTTGTTTATTCCATATGTAACTCTGTGTTTGTTGTTTTTATCGCACTGCTTTGCTTTATCTTGGCCAGGTCGCAGTTGTAAATGAGAACTTGTTCTCAACTGGCTTACCTGGTTAAATAAAGGTGAAATAAAAAAATGTAACGTGGGGAAATGTAGGGAAAATGGCACAGCACAACTTCCAGACAGTTGCTTTCAAACTAGGGATTTAGTGGCTAGTTGAGGTAAGACAGTAATTCTGCTCATAGATTATTCATGTATGAACTACACATTGACACATCCAGCCCAAAGCGAGAGGTTTAAAAAGACTTAGCAGTTGCCAATGTTCCGGAACATGTCTTCAAGTTCTAAACAGAGAATTGTGAGAAGGATCATCACAATTCATCAACGTGCATTTTGCTGAATAATCATAATAATAAGCCATTTAGCAGACGCCTTTATCCAAAGTGACTTACAGTCATGTGTGCATAAATTTTTACGTATGGGTGGTCCCGGGGATCGAACCCACTACCCTGGCGTTACAAGCGCCATGCTCTACCAATTGAGCTACAGAGGATCATAGATGTACTGTATATATTTTGATACAGTATAAGATACACTACATGACCAAAAGTATGTGGACACCTCCTCGTCGAACATCTCATTCCAAAATCATGGCCATTAATATGGAGTTGGTCCCACCTTTACTGCTATAACAGCCTACACATTTCTGGGAAGGCTTTCCACTAGATGTTGGAACATTGCTACGGGGACTTGCTTCCATTCAGCGACGAGCATTAGTGAGGTCAGGCACAGATGTTTGGCTATTATGCCTGGCTCGCAGTCGGTGTTCCAAATCATTCCAAAGTTGTTCAACGGAGTTGAGGTCAGGGCTATGTGCAGGCCAGTCAAGTTCTTCCACACCGATCTCGACAAACCATTTCTGTATGAACCTAGCTTTGTGCACGGGGGCATTGTCATGCTGAAACAGGAAAGGGCCTTCCCCAAACTGTTGCCACGAAGTTGGAAGCACAGAATCGTCTAGAATGTCATTGTATGCTGTAACGTTAAGATTTCCCTTCACTGGAACTAAGGGGCCTAGCCCCAGACCATTATTCCTCCTCCACCAAACTTTACAGTTGGCAGTATGATCACCACAGACACAAAGATAACCATGGCCATGTCAACTATTGAATCACCCAACTCTCTCTTGACAACGAGATGTCTCACTGTGTACTGGACCATAAGAAGAAGAAATGTAGAATGTTTTCCAAACAGACTGGGAGGAGAAAGGCCAGCCAGACAGGGTACTCACCAGGGAGCTGGTATAGATGGGGTCTGATGTTTCGTCCTGTACGTAGCGGGACAGGCCAAAGTCGGACACCTTGCACACCAGGTTGCTGTTGACCAGGATGTTGCGGGCGGCCAGGTCTCTGTGGACGTAGTTCATCTCTGCCAGGTACTTCATGCCCGCTGCGATGCCACGCATCATCCCCACCAGCTGGATCACCGTGAACTGCCCGTCGTTTTGCTGCAGGGCAGGGCCAGGGGGTAAAGAGGAAATGATGTCACATTGGAGTTAATGACATAATAAAGTGCCAGATACTTGGCATAATGATACTCCAATTATCTCTCTAAAATGTTCTCACTGTGTTGAAAATGCAAAGGTACAAACGTTAGGTTTAAAAGATCCTCACACATTTGACTCTGGAAAAAAATAATTGGTGGGGCAGTTTCTTTGTGCAAATATTTCTAGTTATTGGGTATTGAGAAAGAGCACCATATATGCCCTTTTCCAAATGTTACCAAATTGTCATTCATTGATGTAATAAGTGTTCCACTTGACTTGGGGCCTGTGTAAGGAGTGTGTGTGTGTGTCTGTTAAGCCCCACATTGGATCCATGTCTGTGATCGCTCTCTGTCTCTGCTCCTTATCCTCAGCTTGGCTGTTTGTTAGCGGCCCCCACCAAGGTGGATAACCCTCTCCCGTGAGGCACAGCAGGTCTGACCCTACGCTGTGGCTTCAGTGGGTACCTCCAACACACCAAGCAGGGCGCTCATTCAACTGTTGGCTCCCTGCGCCAGCAACATGGGCATGCCAGGAGAAAAACAACCCAGAAATCGATGTCCACGGGAGTCAAGTGCGGTGGCTCGGAAGAGGGCCTAGTGAGGGAAAGGACATCAAAGAGGTGTTCAAAGCCCTGTTTCAAATGAGTCCAGGATCAAAGGGAGGAGGAAACAGGTTGGAGGAATTAGAAAACTGGGCCACATATTGATTGGGTTCCATGTTCTCTGTTTCCAAGGAGGAAGAAGAAACACTAAACTGTGCCAGGCTGGCACTTTGAATCAGGGCCCTGTGTGTTAGCTACGCTGCTTCAAAGGGCTCTGGGTGGAACAATTTCATTTATGTTAATCTCATGAATTATATTACGAGATATCGAAGGTTATTGATAAATATAAGACATTTTGCGCATTCATGCCAAAGTTGTTAATCAGATCTCAATTCCCTGCTATATTGAAATAAATGTATCCTCCAGGTAGCTTTAAATCTTCATTGTCATAATCCTTTTAACAACTAATCTCAATAATCATACTTCACTGTTTGTGTGAGACTGTCAAATTAGCAATAAAAGCTTTAGCTGATCAATCAATATGATTGATATATGAAACCACACAGTGGCCCTATAGCTCAACCCAGTGTACAGTATGATGCAACAGAGGTGAAAGCTGTAGCCAGGGCTGGTGTGCTGAACAGAGGAGGTAAAATGGGAGTATGCGTCCCAAATGGCCCCCTATTCCCTATAAAGTGCACTGTATGCTTTTGACCATGCCCCCTATGGGCCCGGCTCAAAAGTAGTGCACTATAAAGGGAATAGGGTGACATTTAGGACACAACCAGAATAACAAAGCAGCGCTCCCTCTCTCACCCTCAGGAAGGAGTCCAGGGCCCCATTCTCCATAAACTCTGTGATGATCATGACTGGCCGACTCTTGGTGACCACGCCCTCCAGTCTGATGATGTTGGGGTGGTCAAACTGGCCCATGATGCTGGCCTCAGACAGGAAGTCTCTCCTCTGCTTCTCCACGTAGCCCGCCTTCAGGGTCTTAATGGCCACATACAGCTCCCTCTTCCCAGATGGCTTCAGGCGACCCTTATACACCTCTCCAAACTCGCCTGGAGGGAAAGACATGGTATAACTGATCAATTTCATTATTACAAAGCAAACTACCAGTATGCAAGCTGATATTCTAATAGATATAGCACATGTACAATCAAAAGTCCCCATAAAATTAAAACACTGTATATGTGACAGACACAGCGATGAAGAGAGTGTTACACTCTGGCTCCTTGTGGTGCCCCATAACATAGAGCACCGTTTCAGGGTCATAAGACAAGTCCCCACATGTCAGACACGAGTCAGTGCGTATTTTGCTGAATGCATGAATATATCAAGTCAAGTAAAAAAAAAAGAAAAACGGCAGATAAAATCAGCATGAAATATAGATGAATGGAAAGGAGTCTGGTTATATATTATCAGTTTTCACTGAGATAGTGGCTAAAATTGCCCTCTGTTAAGAGAGCAAGTCTGTTAAGTGGACATGGTTCTTTCTCTCTAAAAGCAAATCAAATTAGATGGAAATAGTGGTTTTTAGAAACAAAATATCTGAGGTAAGACCAGATTTCTCTGACAGTTCCTTCATCCCACACCCAGATACAGGTAGAGAGGAAGTGGAAGAGAGAATTATAGATTCACAGCTTTCATTGCAGCAGAGGCAGAGAGATTGTCCCCCATGTTACTGAATTTTAAGTTTCCCCTCTTCCCATTCACCTGCACCAATGACCTCCTCAATCTTCACACAGGACACGTCTATCTCTTTGGCGAATTCTCGGACGGCTTCGTTGGGGTCCTCGTAGGTGAAGGGATCGATGTAGATCTTCATCGCTGGTGAGCCAGAGAAGTGGGTGGGGCATGCCATGGGGGAGGGACAGCTGGACATGTCCGGTCTCAGAGAGAGTTCTGGAACAGAGACAGAGAAGGAGTAGAGGTTAGGATGAGCACGGGGAAACAAACAAATGTATCATCAGCAGGGTTGCAAAGGGAGGGTATATTACTGTAAACTTTCGAAGTTTACCAGTACACTACCAGAATGTTGGTCACTTTGAAGGATTATATGGCCCTTTTGGGTACTTAAGATTATCACAGGTGTCTTTAATTATCTCTGGCCCTCTGTGAGACCTTTTCACATGTAAAATATATCAAATAATCAAATAAGATGATTTTAAAATAAAAAAAATAGAATGACGAATCTGTAAAACCTTATCCTAAATTAGGTCTGTCAAACGATTAACATAATTAATTGAGTTAATGGCATTAGCTAATCGCAATTAATCACAATTTTTGATTTTGCTCAAATTTGGCCTTAAATAGAACAAAATCTATTTAAAAAGCAGTCCATTGAGTTATGGGTATACTATGTTTGATTGTAAGGGAAAGAAACATAAAATAATCTGTATCAGAATGTTTTTAACGGCATTTTCACCATAAACAACACAAAAGTCACTGTAACATACAGCTAAATCAAATAAAAATCAAATCCTATTTGACACATGCTTCGTAAACAACAGGTGTAGACTAACAGAGAAATGCTTACTTACTGGCCCTTCCCAGCAATGCAGAGAGAAAAACTGGAATAATTACAGCAAAATAATAAGACAAGGAATAAATACACAATGAGTAACAATAACTTGACTATATACACGGGGTATCAGAACCGAGTCGATGTGCAGGGGTACGAGGTACTGTAAATTGAGGTAGCTATAGATAGGGGTTAAGTGACTAGGCAACAGGATAGATAATAAACAGTAGCAGCAGCGTATGTGATGAGTCAAAAGAGTTAGTGCAAAAAGGGTCAATGCAGATAGTCCGGGTAGCTACTTGGTTAACTATACTGAACAAAAATATCAACGCAACATGTAAAGTGTTGGTCCCATTATTAATGAGCTGAAATAAAATATCCCAGAAATGTTCCATATGCACAAAAAGCTTATTTCTGTCAAATTGTGTGCACAATTTTGTTTACATTCCTGTTAATGAGCATTTCTCCTCTGCCAAGATAATCCATCCAGGTGGCAGATGTGGCATATCAAGAAGCTGATTAAACAGCATGATCATTACACAGGTGCACCTTGCGCTGGGCACATTCAAAGGCCACTCTAAAATGTGCAGTTTTATCACACAACACAAGTTTTGAAGGAATGTCCACCAGAGCTGTTGCCAGATAATTTAATGTTAATTTCTCAAACCATAAGCCGCCTCCAATGTCATTTTAGAGAATTTGGCAGCACGTCCAAATGACCTCACAACCGCAGACCATGTCTAACCATGCCAGCCCAGGACCTCCACATCCGGCTTCTTCACGAGCGGTTTTCTGATGTCAAGGTTGTGAACAGAGTGTTACGGTAACTCAGTAAAATCTTTGAAATTATTGCATGTTGCATTTATATTTTTGTTCAGTGTATTTAGCAGTCTTATGGCTTGGGGGTAGAAGCTGTTCAGGGTCCTGATGCTCTCAATGGTGTAGCTGTATATCTTTTTGTGGATCTGAGGGCCCATGCCGAGTATTTTCAGCCTCCTGACCGGGAAGAAGCATTGTCTTGCCCTCTTCACGACTGTGTTGGTGTGTGTGGACCATGATAATTCCTTAGTGATGTGGACACCGAGGAACTTGAAGCTCAACAAGATAGATAATAAACAGTAACAGCAGCATATATGATGAGTCAAAAGAGTTAATACAAAAAGGGTCAATGCAGATAGTCCGGGTAGCTATTGGTTAACTACTTAAAGAGATGGGTGGGGCTAAGGCTTAAGAGGGCGTGAACGATGCTGAATAGGTGTAGACAAAGAAGAGCTCTCCAGTATGTGTACCAAAACATTCAAGGGCCATTTTCTCAAAAGTGGGGTTACAAGTTGATCAACTTTCAAAGCAGAATTACTTTCCCATTGTTCCTCAACAGCAGTGTATGATATACCATTTTGTAGCTCTGATTCTGTACTTTTATCCAATGTAAAAAAAAAAAAAAAAAAACACTATTTCAAATTTTGCTACATAAGACCGAATCAAGGCTGTCGGTCACAAATATGATGGTTAAGTGTTCAATGTTGTCATTTCACTTCTGAGTTTTTTCACTTAACTAGTGAAATAGTCATTGAAATGATTGGCAATATCAAAAGGTTTTGTTATAAATCAATGAACGATGGAGATTAATTGGGTTTTCTGCCAATTTAAGGTACTTCAAAGTCTTTTTCCACTTTTTTATGTCATTTATGTTGGTTTGGTAATATAATTTCTTCTTATTTCTGTTAACTGTAGTCTCAACATTTCTCAGTTTAAAGTATGTCAACCAAGCAGCTGAGCAGCCTGGTTTGTTTTCCACCTCTTTTGCATCATTTCTTTGAACCATACAATGTTTCAATTCATCATCAGTCCAGGGGGCTCTAACAGTTCTCATAGTTAATCTTTGAACAGGTGCATACTTGACAACAATTGGCATTAATATTTTTACTAATACTTCCAGTGCTGCATCTGGATTCACTTCCTCATACACATCAGACCAACATACCTTTTTTACATCTTCAACAAAAGAGTCCTGAGTAAACATTTTGTATGATCTCTTATAAATTATTTTAGGCCCAACCTTTGGCACTTTGGCTTCCTTGTAATTGCCACAATGTTATGGTCACTACAGCCAATGGGAACTGATATTGCTTTTGGAGCAAAGCTAGTATGCACTCTAGTTGGTTGAGTGATAACCTGGGTCATATCACAGGATTTTAGTCACAGTTAGAAGCTTCCTCTTGAGAGGACAGCTAGTTGCTAACCAGTCAAAGTTCAGATCACCCAGAAAATGAACCTCTCTGTTAACATCACACACACTATCAAGCATTGCACACATACTGTCACACCCTGATCTGTTTCACCTGTCTTTGTGATTGTCTCCACCCCCCTCCAGGAGTCGCCCATCTTCCCCATTATCCCCAGTGTATTTATACCTGTGTTCTCTGTTTGTCTGTTGCCAGTTCGTTTTGTTTTGTCAAGCCTACCAGCGGTTTTCCATTTGATATGAGATCCTCTGTAAGATTTACAGGAATATGGCTCTAAAACAATGTACAGCAACACCTCCCCCATAGGCATTCCTGTCTTTTCTGTAGATGTTATACCCCTACATTGCTATTGCTGTATTATCAAAGGAATTATCTAAGTGAGTTTCAGAGATGGCCAGTATATGAATGTTATCTGATGTTAGCAATGTGATTTCATGAGACTTATTTCTAAGGCTACATACTTATCGGAGATAGACATAATATGGAGAAAATAAATAAGTAAAAAAAAGTGAGTCAATAGTCAGTCAAGCTAATAGTCAGTCAATCAGGCACTTGTGAGTGTCAGTTGTGTGCGTGTGAGTGTGCGTGCGCGTGTGATGTTGGGCTGAAGCTACTGACCCTGAAGCTTGGCACTCTCACTCTTCTCAGGCTTTTGGGAGGGAGGGAGGGTGGGTGGGTGGACAATGAGTTTGTCGAAGAGGATGTAAGCAATGTCCCCATGCTCTCTAGCAGATTTCATAGCTGGGATAAGTTATTTCCGCCTCTGACGCACAGGTTCTGAGAAATCCTCATTGAGGAAGATGTTGGTTCCTCTCAAGGTCTTGGCTCTCTCCAGAACAGCCATCTTCTCCTTGAAGCTTAGGAACTTGACCACTATCAGCCTGGGTCTGTCATCTGGGCAGGTTACAGGTTTTCCAGACCTGTGGGCGCGCTCCAACTCAATCTTCCTATGATCCATCTGCAGCTTTTCAGTGATAATCTTTCTCACTTTCTCCTCAGACTCCGTCCAGGTCTCATGTGGAGACTCTGATATCCCATCCACAACAATGTTATTCCTCCTAGATTGTCCCTCTAGACAGTCTCTTTTCCAGTCATCTGTAATAATGATTCACAGACAGTGCTGATGTCATCCTGTGTGGACTTACAGTTTGTAGTCATTTTGCTGCAAGTCTCTTTCAGACCCTCCACCTCTCTCTGGGAGAATTGCAAACTGTTCTTAAGTTCTTGGACCTCTCTGGTTAGATTGTCCATTCTTTTGTTAGTTGTGTCCACCAGTCTTTGGACAAAGCTCTCAAAGCTATTTTCCTGATGCTGTAACAATTGCTTGTAGACATCAAATCAAATCAAAATCACATTTTATTGGTCCAATACACAGATTTGCTGATGTTTGCAGATTTGCAGGTGCAGCTAAATGCTTTTGTTTCTAGCTCCAACAGTGCAATAATACCTACCAATAATAAAAATGACAAAAACAATATATTTAGATTTTTTATTTATTTGTATAAATAAATATCAGAACGAGAATGTCAGAGACTGGAAAAAAGATATACAGTACCAGTCAAAAGTTTGGACACACCTACTCATTCAAGGGTTTATCTTTATTTTTACTATTGTCTACATTGTAGAGTAATAGTGAAGAAATCACAACTATGAAATAACATCATGTAGTAACCAAAAAAGTGTTCAACAAATCAAAATATATTTAATATATTGAATTCTTCAAAGTAGCCACCCTTTCCCTTGAAGACAGCTTTGCACACTCTTGGCATTCTCTCAACCAGCTTCACCTGGAATGCTTTTCCAAAAGTCTTGAAGGAGTTCCCACATATGCTGAGCACTTGTTGGCTGCTTTTCCTTCACTCTGCGGTCCAACTCATCCCAAACCATCTCAACTGGGTTGAGGTCGGGTGATTGTGGAGGCCAGGTCATCTGATGCAGCACTCCATCTCTCTCCTTCTTGGTCAAATTCCCTTACACAGCCTGGAGGTGTGTTTTGGGTCAATGTCCTGTTGAAAAACAAATGATAGTCCCACTAAGCGCAAACCAGATGGGATGGTGTATCGCTGCAGAATGCTGTGGTAGCCATGCTGGTTAAGTGTGCCTTCAATAATAAAT